ATACATTACACCCATATACATACACACATTACACCCATATACATACACACATTACACCCATATACATAAACATTACACCCATATACACACACTTTGCAAAACTATTCCAAAAAACGAAAACTTGTTAGTACTGTTTATAATTAGTAGTATGACTAGTATTTAATAGCACAACAAAATTATATCAGGTGTCATATGTCAGATAAAAAACAATGAATTCTTACCTTACAAAACTGGAATCAGCACATCCTTCTGAATATCCCGTTTTCTACGCTGCTTCACAATACTGGAGTATAGAGAAAATTTCTCAAATGGTGAAATAACAGTATGTGTTAAGATGCTGCACAGGTGTAAGATGAATGCATCTCGCACAGTTTTTATGAGGAATAGTATGTCATGACAGAACAGCTGAGTAAGTCATTAAAACTTATTCCTCAGATTAAATAAATAAAGTTCTACAGTCATCACAGAAGCAGGTGAAGGGTATTCCCGATTGTAACTGCCAGATCTTCCACAACCATATCTTCTTGTGAACCACCAGAACATTGTAAAAGTATCTTTCAGTTAACAGAAGTGAAAGAATTCTGTTGAATTCTGACAAATCCTTTGTGTTAACTTCGTCAGGAATTTTATTCTTCACATTTTAAGCACCGTTTCCTGTATTTAGCACTGTTTTCACAACTTAAGCGAGGAATTTACTCCCATGAACACAAAGAGAAAAGAGAAAATACAAAAAAGTCTACATAAAACTCGTCAATTTACTAAAATTAGAGAGAGGGAACTTCTTTAAATATTCAGATTCTGGAATGTTCTGAAGAAAGTTCATGGTATTGAAATGTTGAAACCTTAAAACAAACTATTCACAAACACTTCGGTCACACAAAGTTTTTTAAAAAAAAATAGACTTGCAATTTAACACAAACTATCCTGACACCTTATTACTTCGTGCATGAATGCAACATTTTATTAAGGGTAACACATTCACCAATACATTTATCTTATGGCATGTTCAATACGTACCAGTACGTATGAAAGACTTTGTTGTAAAGGTAGGTTATATTTGTATACAAACTAAGACAATCCTACTAATATAATGACCATTTGAAATATTACATTTCAGTAAGAATTGTAATATTGTCACTAACGTGCTATTTATGAATCAATTTGTTCTACATTCTATGGCGAAGGGGAGGGGACCGAAACATATGGTCTTACAAATTAACTTCATTTTGTATAGCACTATACTAGAGCCAAACACTATAAGTAATATTTTTAATTTAGAATTGAAGGGCTCAGTATAACAAAGCGCTATTCCCCTTTGACCTAGTTCTCAGATTTTGGTTTTACTATAACGTACAAAACTACTCCATACACTTTTAAACAAAGAACACTTTTAAGTCCATATGGAATTTAAATAACATACACTAAAAGAATAATATTTCAAGTTTTATTCAACGCTAATAACTCAATTTCACAAAAATGTGGGAACTAAAGAAAATGTGCGAAGATAATCTTTTCCCCCCCACGTCACATACAGTTTTTACTGTTTTTTGACTGAATAAATCTAAATCTAAACCCCTTGATCTACTGAGCCTTTCAATTATATGAACAATAGTGGGTGAAGGATAGTACAGAAACAATAATTTGCTATCGCTACATTAAATACATAGAAATTCATTATTGATTGCCTACTTAATTTATTACAATGAATAATAATATCCCAACATTCTGAAGAATTAGTTTACATCACAGACATTTTAGAAACTTATGTTTATATATATTCACAAATCCAAAGCAATTATACAACAAAATTCTAGAAATTAGGAATTTGAAGTACTGTTATTAACAATCTTAAAAATTACATTTCCTACGCAAAAAAATTTATATTAAGAGAAATTATATTAAAGGAAAAGTAGCGTCAACATTTTGGAACATTCAAATCACATTGCAGTCTCGAACGTTTGAGAAGTTGCTTTTGCCAAGCCACACCTTCACACCAAATCCTAAGAAAATATCCCTCAAAATACTCATGAAAACAATCCCTCCGCCACAAAAACCCTTGAAACATTCCCTTAGCCCGAACAAACTTGGAAAATATATCTTTCCCCCAAACCAAAACCCTCGTACAGGTTCTCTTTTCCCCCAAAAACCAAAACCCTCGTACAGGTTCTCTTTTC